TTCCTTTGATCGTACCAAGCCTCATTCTCCGGGGAGGTGAAACGTGGTACGGATGAAGAGGAAGAAGTAGCATCATTTCGTCGTTTAGGAGCCATTGAACCTGCACAATTAGTTCAACACATACACACAACACCATTTGTTCATCAATTCAAGGTAAGATTTGGAAAATTTCTTCAATTTCCCCAAATCTCATGTTCATTCAAGAATTCTTGCAATAATCATGTTTAGAAGATTATATATCAACAACAAGTCATAGCAACATATCTCTAAGCATCAATTATAGAAAAGAATTCATCAATGAACAAGAAATTCGAAATTAGGGTTCTTGAGAAAAACTTTCAAGAATTTCCCTTAAACTTGAACTTTAATCTCACAATTTTGAACCAGAATCATGTTTATATATACCAAATGATCATAAGGAATTATCATTCAACATTTATAAACATCTAATTTGTCAAGAATTGTAAAAGAAAAAAAAAACAGGAATTAGGGGAAATTTGAATTTTGAGCCACAATACCTTGGATTGATGTTCAAAGAGTGATGAAGAAAGTGTACAAGTGCCGATATAGTAATAAATTCCGGTAAAATACCGGGTCGAATCCACAGGGAAACATTGTTTAATTTAGTCCGAAAGTAGATGACTTTTAAATAAATAAATGAGTAAAGTGCAGGGATTTTGATTTGTGTTTTGTATTTTTGGCTTTTCACTTTTAATTCAAGGAAACAACTTTAATTAATTCGGATTTAAAATGAATGATAACAACGGCTAAGGCTTCGGGAATCACTTAAATGCTTTAATAGGGTTGAATATTAGTTCTTTACCAATAATTATGAATACGATGTCGCTAATATATTCTCAACTCCGGTTAAGGCAACGAGAGCGTGGTTTTCGTTACGTGTAAGTCCCGTTACGGCTTACATTCATCTACCGAAAACCCCGTTGAATATCAAGACATCTCACCCGTATCATATAATACCGGATATATTTCTATTCTCGGTAATATATATGCTTATCCCTTAATGTTCATAGTTTAGACTTCAACGTTAATTGCAAGTATAAACTAAATTTAACATACTTCTATGTTGTACACCATAGTCATAAACAATCAAAATGTAAAGGATAAATCACAATTTGTTGGTTTAGAACTTTTATCAAACATCTAGTGGGCATAGAAGTTCATCCCTAGCCTTAGCTAAGAAATTAGCCTCTAATGCTCATATTAATCAACATACAATATTGAAATGTAATGGAACATGAAATTACAAAGGAAATAATACCTAAACACCAATGATTTCGGAGGTTGAAGTTTCTTCCTCAAGAACTTGAAGAAAATACCAAGAACAAAAATATAAAAGCTATGATTTAATCTATGGAATGGAATGATTTTGCTTGATGAATTAAGGGCTTTATATAGGCTAAAGAAAGGCATCTTTTAGTCTATTCAAGCCTAACAATCGGGTATGGAAGCAATATTTGATCAGATATGGAGGAAGATGGGTTTTTCCCATCAGAAATCTTCTGCACGTCAAGCTGTTTTAGCAGAAAATCGGAACAACCGGCGCCGGTTGGGTGCAAAAATGCACCGGTCGCGCTGCGCCGGTTGGAAACAAGTTCGAATTGGGCAAAAAATCCCGACGGCCGCCGCCGGTTATAGGGCATCCGGCGCCGGTTCCTGCGCCCAAACTTGTACTTCGCTTCTTTTCTTCGTTTGATGCCCGAAATTGGTCCAGAAATGCCGGTTTTCGATCCCTTTTGACTTTTGACCCTATTTTCGTTGCTCCATGTCGTATTTCATGTTTCCGCTAACTCGAGAATATTTATCCGTTTTCGCTTCACATTTTTGCACAGATAAATGTAATTACTTATGTAAAATATAAGTAATTATTGTGCTTATCAATATGCGCATAATATTTTAAAAACTTTTCCTTCATAAAACCACAAAAATAACTCACGTAAGCGGCATTCTCAAATTCATTAAAAGCACCGGCGAGATTAACAACTTCACAAATAAATTCGTTTGAGGTAGGTTTATAAACATGACTAAAACTTTCAGTTGCATTATTAAAATATATCAAAACATTACAAATTTTTTCGCAAGTGTCGATGTGAGCGGAGTTTAAAATATAGTTATCATATTGTCTTAAAAAAGCATGAAAATGTTCTTTATATCTAAGAAGAACTTTAATTAATTTATAAGTACTATTCCACCGAATAGACAAATCTTTAGGAAAAGCAACATATTTCACACATCTTTCAATCAAATAATTTTGCCATATTAATTTAAGTTGATCATTGCTCCAAATACGTCTAATCCCCCCTTGACTACCTCCATAGCATCTCCTAACGCTTTTAGACCCTCTTGCACACATAAATTTATAATATGGCATGCACATCGTTGATGAAAAAATCTACCCATCAAAGTTTTAGAACCACACAATTCACGCAATCTAGGTATAGCAGCAGTATTATTAGTAGCATTATCAAAACCTATAGAAACACCTTATCAATCAAATTATACTCAGTTAAAATACGTTCAATCAAAATATAACTATGTTCAGCGGTGTGACGATCATTAAATTCACGAAAAGCAAGAACACGTTTATGCAAATTCCAATCACTATCAATAAAATGTGCAGTCAGGTCCAAATAATGTAAATTATGATAAATATCCTCCCAAATGTCAGAACAAATAGTTACACGGCCATCAAAGTTTGCAAAAACAATTTGTAACATATCCTTTTCCGCACGATAACCTATCAAAGTTTGTGCATAATCTTTAAAAGCAAGACTTTCAGAAAACAAAAAAGGCAAATTTTCTTCAACAAGTAAGTTAGCCATACCAGTCAAATTTTGTGCATCAGTGTATGAGAAATTGCCAAAAGGTTGGTCATTTGCAAACCTCGATATTTGAGTTTGCTTCCCCTTGCCTTTGTCTATTTTCGCATACTCAACAAAGTGCGCGGACTTAAAATGCCTTTTGAGGCTCCCGTATCCGCCGGAAGTTCCCAAACTATACTCCTTCTTGCAATGACTGCAACTTGCGTACCATTTATCGGTTGTTGGGTTTTTCCTCTTTGTAAAATTATTTTCTATAATAGGAGATTTAGATTTCTTACCAACTCGGGAATGGACCGCCCTCGTCCTCCAACTCTTGCTCATCATCCGGGGTGCCGTGAGTCCCGTCGACCCCCTCGTCCTCCTCCGCATCGTCATCCTCGAGCTCCTCTTCATCAATGGACTTTGGAATGTTTTGTTGTTGGAAAAAGCGACCATCATTTTGCGCCAATAGTTGTTGTAGTTGCTCGTCGGACATCGCATCCCCATCTCGCCTTTGGTATCCGTCATCAAAATCTTCTCGACTTTGAGAAGAAGACCCGGCCCGTCCTTTACCTTTGCCTTTGCGTAAACTAGGATGACTTGTCGCAATCTCCTTCCTTCGGTTGCGTTGGAGATTATTACTCATATCTACGGAATGTCTGCCACAGTCCATCTTTAAAATGTAACAAATATTATATGATATCAAATGTTTTAATATGAGTACAATAGTAATAATAAAATGCAGCTAATAAAATTATAGCAAATTTCCAAGAATCCACTTACTAATAAAATTAAGTAGTTTTAAACTTTAATGCAACAATTAACAAATAACTAGTTTTTTACTTTTATGATGAATGCAACAATTAACAAATTAAATAACAGGGAAATGAAAAATGTAACTATTAACTAGTTTTTTACTTTAATGCAACAATTAATAATTAACTAGTTTTTTACTTTTATGATGAATGCAACAATTAACAAATTAAATAATAGGGAAATGAAAAATGTAACTATTAACTAGTTTTTTACTTTAATGCAACAATTAACAATTAACTAGTTTTTTACTTTTATGATGAATGCAACAATTAACAAATTAAATAGTTTTTTACTTTTATGATCTAATTAATGATAATTAACTTATTTCCCTTCAAAAAAAACAAATTAAATAATAGGGAAATGAAAAATGTAACTATTAACTAGTTTTTTTACTTTAATGCAACAATTAATAATTAACTAGTTGTTTACTTTTATGATGAATGCAACAATTAACAAATTAAATAATAGGGAAATGAAAAATGTAACTATTAACTAGTTTTTTACTTTAATGCATCAATTAATAATTAACTAGTTTTTTACTTTTATGATGAATGCAACAATTAACAAATTAAATAATAGGGAAATGAAAAATGTAACTATTAACTAGTTTTTTTTACTTGAATGCAACAATTAATAATTAACTAGTTTTTTACTTTTATGATGAATGCAACAATTAAAAAATTAAATAATAGGGAAATGAAAAATGTAACTACTAACTAGTTTTTTGTATAACTAGTATAATCTAGGTATATAAGTAGATTATTGTATAACTAATAATATAATGTTTATAGTATATAATATATAAGTATATTACTATAAGATAAGTAATACACTTATATATAATACTTTAATATATATAAGTAAATAACAATAAATATAGACAATAAAGTAAATATTAAAAAGATGGAGATGTATAAGTAGATAATAAGTATATATTAAGTAGATAATAAATATTAGTAATATAATATAGGTATATAAGTAGATTATTGTATAACTAATATATAATATAATGTTTATAGTATATAATATATAAGTATATTACATTATTACTATAAGATAAGTAATACACTTATATATAATACTTTAATATATATAAGTAGATAATAGGTAGAGATTAAGTAGATAAGGAATATAAGTAATATAATATAATATATACTAATGACAGACTTCCAGGAAACCCTAATTATGCCCAAAATAAATAACTCGTAATTAGGCCCATAATAACTCTACTAAATACCCTACTAATAATAGGCCCAAACTAAATCATAACATTAACTTAATAAAAATAAATAGACTATAACAACAACCCTAAACTGGCCCACGGAAGTGGGCCCAAGCCCAGTCCCGCCTCATGCTCTTCCCGCTCTCTATCAGCGTAGGTATTCATTAATAATGTCATCCACATTAAATGTCTCTGTTTTGCACAAACTGCAAAATATAATCTTTATATGCACATACATCCAACCTATAAGAAACAATTTCACCCAGAAAATACATGCTCTGGTGTGCAAGACATACCAATACAATTTTTGACAAGGAACCATTTAAGGAAACTACAGAAGACAATTTCCCATATCTGGTTGTGCCATAAGATATGGATAGTGAGTACTTCACTAGCAAAAGGAGGAACAAGTGAAGTTCTTTCCCTATTGATGTCTTCTTATAACGTTTTTGAATAAAAGATCTGCCATCTCAAAGATTTAGTAGGAAGAACAAATTGGTCAGCTCCAGCAAGCTCCCTTGGGATTTGCATTGTTTGTTATCCATGGATGATCCTTGATCTTATGATGGGATAGCCTTTGCTAAGAGTCCTTCGCAAGAAGCCGACTAATGAGATCAACCTTCATAATTCTTCTAAAGGTATCCTTCTGGGTTTCTGTCACAAATGGAGGCATACCATACAGAAACTCATAGCAGAGAACGCCTAGAGTCCGGTTATCAACTGCATAATCATGAGCTTTGTTCTCCACCATTTCTGGTGCCAAGTAGTCCAGCGTTCCACACATTGTGTGCCTCTTTCTTTTTTACTAATAGTATTATTCATAATTTGCTCATTCAATACCAAGCAAGACTTCTATTTTTTCTTGGTGTCCCAAACTAACTGGGAGGAAGGTAGACTCAATAAAATCAATAGTCAGTATATCTTTCTCAATGTCCACTATTCATCATTGAATGGATGCAAGTGTGCATCTCAATGTCCCACTATTCATCATTGAATGGATGCAGGTGTATTTCCTTCTCACGTAGAATATGGGGATAAGTTCTGGATTCTCGAATTAAGAGAGATCTAGCAGAAAAAACGCAAAGCCTATTATTATATCAATTGTTTTTGCATAATGATACAAAGTCATACTCGCGTATCATATAAATATGCCAAGGGGCAGAAGAATGGCAATCCAGAACATAGTCATAACTCATTAATAAACTAGACATATGGTGCTAGCAACTTTAGATTCACAGCATGCATAAGTGGTTATTTATTCCCTAATGAATCAACCGATCTCTCTCTAGAATACAAGCCAGAATGTATAAAAATGAAACAAATATAGAATCACTAAAAGAATATATCACACAACCTACCAATTTAGGTTCTCTCTGCCGGAGTGAGATGCCCCAACTGTTCGGCAAGGCTATTTACATTGCTCATATTCCACCAGAACTTCCCTTGCTCGGCTGCTTTATTTTCACTTTTTTTGGCATCAAGATCTTTCCTTTGTGACTGCACCTCTGGTGCATCAGTTGACCCGGGATTCTCTGTCAGGAATTGTTCCCAGAACAAGTCATTTACTCTTTTGGGAGTGTTAGGAGCAACCTCTTGTACTATGTCAGGATCTTGGTGTGGGCCCACCTCCGAAACCAGGTTCCTATTTGGCACTGCATTCATATCAATTCCTGAAGTCTTGGGTCCCCCATCACCAAGCTGTGTGTATGATATGGCGGGGCTATCTGCACAACAACTGGTAGATTCATCCAACTCAGTTCCTGAACTCTCATGGACCTGAACTATTTGACCAACATCTTGAAACAGATTTTCCCAGAATATCAAAGATGACTCTAATTGATCTAACAACTCCTTGTTAAAGTTAGGAATAGTATTTTGGATGATGTCTTCCATTGGTCGATTTCCGTCGATGACACTTTCTGCATAAAGATAACTGTTTCCTGGAAGCCGTCTCTTTCTATAAGGCAATCCCATTTGGGGAACCAGACTTAGCGTCAGCTCTGGTTTATCCAGCAATTCAGCTAAGGAGGATAGCATACTCCTTTGTCCCTGTTCCACATGCTGTAATTGTTCAGTCAACCCGCGCATTTGCAACTCAAATCCTTGGTTTTCCTGCTTATGTCTTTGAAGTTCCAATTGAATGGACTCTTTTTCGCGATTTAGCTTTGTGATATCATCCTTGTACCCTTGTCTTTCTGATTCATTCAATGGAGATGAGGCCTGAAGATTAAGTGTAGAGTGACTATGAACTGGTTTTCGTCTGTGGATGTTCTTCATAAGTTGAGGCTGATCTCTAACAAAGTCATCATTTGCAAATTCCCATTGCTCAGGATCAACTTTCCTGAACCCCTACACAACAGAAAGTAGACATGAGAGGTTAACAGTCATCATCATCATCATAACTAGTAGAGGTCAGTATTATAGTGCCAATCAACTTGGTTAATAAAAACCCAAAACCAGAAATTGAAGATAAAAAAAAAAAAGAATACTGACGTAAGTATTCAGCTGTCTGATAAAGCTGGAGAAGTTGTTATGCTTGAAGTATCTGGGCAAGAGATCTCTGGAAAATTCTGGCGGGTTCCAAACAATGAAACTTTTGTTGTTCTGACTCCAAGAGACGATGGGGTTGGTTGAGGAGTTATCCACCATTTCATAAGTCTTGGCAAGGAAGGGAGGCAAAGCATTCGAAGCTTCATCCATTATAATTGACAACACTGTGTATATGAGTATATCGCTCCCTCAAACTAAAATTTTAAAGATTGAATAAAAAGCTTCAAAACGAACTCAATATTCACTTGTACACAAAAAGATTTCTTCAGTTACAGTCAACCCAGAAAATTTCGTCAACTAAATCCCTGCAATTCACTTCCCTCTTACCAACAGCCCATTTAAGGTCCTGTACTTTATCGCTAAGATCGCGATCACTGAACCTCCTGTGGCCACAGTGAAAGAGGCAACAATTACAGGAGCAAATTTCAAGAAAAACGGGGATTAAATTTCTTCCAAACACATAACAAACATCAAAGTCGTCAACACAGGCCTCTTTCTCCCTATCCTCACGAATCACGCATAAGCATCCGCACTCACAGTAAGTAATATATAACTAATAACACAGTATGCAACTCAGTATTTTGATTTTTAACCTGAGGTAAAGGAACATAATTTCTTGACACTTGTGGCCTGAGCTTGTGGATCGAGATATTATTTCTGAAGACAGACTTTCCGCGGGCTTTTCTAGGGTTTTATAAAGGGGATGGGAATAATCGTCAAAATCGTTGTTCAAACTGTAGGCACGAGTAAGTTTCGTCGTACTTTCAATGTAGAACTCTTTGTCTTCCCGCAGACAAAGTACTCTCAAGCTAGGTGCCTAAGATGGAGCTTTTGAAAAAAGAAACTTTTTTAGGGCTTAAGGTCATCTTTGGCACACAAAAGTCTCTGCCTTCTAGTTTCTCTTTTCTTTAAAAAGACCTTAAAAGACTCTAGTTGTATGTTTGGCATGACATTTTTTAAGAGCTTTTCAAAAATTAAAAGATCTTTTTTGAGATGCTACCGGGTGTAGCATCTGAGAAAAGCTCGTGACTTTTAGTATTAATTAGTCCTAACAGCTTGTATACCAAACCGAACTAAATCAAACAGTCGGCTTTTTACCAAACAGCTATCACCTTTTCATTTTAAGATCTTTTCAGTCACTAAAAGCTGACAGTTACTAAAAAACTCACAAAAGTATCTTTTCAACTAGTTGTGCCAAACATACCCTAAATATATTTTTAGTCCATGCAAATATGACACAATTTGTTTTAAGTCCCTGTAAAATATTTTTCTTGTTTTTCATCCCTGCAATATGCATTATTTTATTTTTAGACCATCTTTGATTCTGAAACTACTTTACTTACAAAAAAAATTATTGTCAGTAACATAAATATATTAGAAATATTTAGGGCCTGTTTACTAACAGAGATATTTTCCTGTTTTCTATTTTTCTCCAATTTTCTGTTTTTATTTTTCAGTTTTTCTATCTCCAATTTTCTGTTTCTATTTTTTTGTTTTCCATTTCTAAATCTGAAAACATGTTCATCAATTTTTTCACTCAGTTCTCCAATTTCACACCCTTGACCCCTACCCTTACCACGATCTTACACTCTACCCATACTCCCCCACAACCCTTCATACCCACCCATACCTACTCGTAGGGGTCGGGGTAGGGAAGTTATGGGTGGGGGTGGGGTGAGGGGTATGGTCGGGGTGGGGTGGTAAGGTCTAGGGTTAAGGGGTTGGGTGGGGGTAGTGGGTGGGTTAGGGTCGTGGTTAGGGGTAAGAGTGGGGTAGTGGGTAAGGTTGGGGTAAGGTAGGGGTAAGGTAGGGGTAAGGTAGGGAGTTGGGATAGGATGGCGGTAAGGTGGGGCCGAGGTAAGGAAGGGGTAGGGTGGTGGGCAGGATGGCGGTAAGGGTGGGGGCAGTGGGTAGGGTTAGGGTAAGGTAGGGGTAGGGTAGGGAGTTGGGATAGGATGGCGGTAGGGTGGGGCCGAGGTAGGGGAAGGGTAGGGTGAGGGGTAGGTTGGTGGTGGGGTAGGATGGCGGAAGGGTGGGGGTAGGATGGCGGTGGGGTGGGGCCGAGGTAGGGGGCATGTGGTAAGGGGTAAGGGGTAATTACGGGTGGGGGTTAGGGTGGGTCGAGGTGGTAGGGGGTGGCGGTTAGGGTATGGTGGATCGGGGTGGGGCCGAGGTAGGGGCATGTGGTAGGGGTGGGGTAGGGTCATTATAGGGAAAAATGGGTACGCGGGGTGGGTAGGGTTAGGGTAGGGTAGGGGTAAGGGGTAAGGGGTAAGGTACAAAGATGGAGGTACCGGAATGGAATCGACATCAGAGCGGGACCGGACGCACCACTAGGTGTAAGTATGCAAGTTCATTGCAGCGACACTATAGCATCTGCGTTTTCCAAATTTAGAAAACTAGTAAAAGTCACTTCTCCAAATCATTAAGGAAAAGAGGGACATGTCTCATTTTTTCCGTTTTGAAAACAATTTGGTAAACGCGTTTTTCTTTTTCCCTTTCTCCAGTTTTCCAGCAATTTCTTTGGTAAACACGTTTCCTGTTTGCTGTTTTCCAGTTTTCTGAAAAACTGGAAAATATCTTTGTTAGTAAACAAGCCCTTAAATTCTTCCTTTTATAATTTTTTGAGGCTAATATGAGAGTTAAAACAATGTAAAACTAAGTATTCACATTTTAAAAATATATATTAAAACTGTCTAAAAACTAAAATTAAATACTTTTTTAATAACATGATAAAGAATTAGAGGAGATCTATTGATCGGGGCTATTTTGAGGTCAAATAGCGATTGTCATGAATGTCATCATCGGTAATGGACTAAAAAGAAAACCAACCTAAATTGCAGGGACGAAAAATAAAAAAATAATTTTGCAGGGATGTAAAACAAAATGTATTATATTTGCAGGGACTAAAAGCATATTTAAACCTTTTTTGAGAGACTTTGTAAAAAGAAACTTATAGGACCGGTTCAGAATAATTCAAAATAAATCAACTAGAAAATTAATAATCCAATTAAAAACATCATAAATCAAATTCTTCACTAATGAATAAATTAATTATATTTTCTTCTACGGTCCAGCATTGTCAGTATATTTACCCACACATAGGATTATTTTTTTTTTTTTAATAGAGGCCAAATGAGACACATTTTGTTATACTTACTCACACAATCTTTTAATTAAATTCTTACTTTTTACTGCGTATTATACATCATATTTTCCAAAAACAATTGTGTGCAAAGTATGATTTAAAAGTCAAATATTCCGATATAAAAATAAATAAATAGATAAATAAAATTAGAGTTTAATTTTGTTGTTGTTACTTCAGGCCCATTTTTTAAAACAACTTAAAGATATGAAAAAACTAACCATGAATCTTAATTTTAGCACATGGATCAACTTTTATAGAAAATGGACCTAAAAATCTTCGGCGGTTGAAAACTTATGTATGTAATACTACTACGTATAAAAGTCATGAATTTGAATTTTAATATATATATTTTATAAAAATTGGAGTACAAAAACAAAAGATATCCCACTTTTTAGAAAATGAAAAATAATTTAAATATTCCAAACTTTAAATATCTCGTGGACTTTGAACTATTTCATAATATATTAATTCTCTGCAATTGTCTCTTCTCATCACTAAAGAATTTTGTGGACTTTTCTGTTGTCTTATACTTGTCACAAGTACGCATAGATCTGGGATATCTAGGTGACATTCATGTAATTTCCATATTTAAATTTGTGCTTTTAATTAGTTTCGAGTGATTGTTACTTTGGAAATTACACACTTTTGGTGTAAATAGTTTAGTTTGTAAAATATTTGTAATATGTTTAGATTAGGTTTATTCCGAGCTCAAACAGGTCCAAGTACACTTTGGAGACCATTGGTGAACATCACAAGTGCAAGGAAGGTGCAAGAATGCAAGAAAAAATGGAAGATCTCGATTTTGGTCTGTACCCGGTCGGGTATGACCTATACCCGGTCGGGTACCCTTCTGAAATTTCGAATCAAATCAAATCCGGGAACAAGGCATCATGCGGGAAGATTTTAACACGTTCGGGTGTCCATACCCGATCGGGTGACCGACAGACCCGATCGGGTATGACCCCATTTTCCAGCTTCGACGAAGCCACATCTTGTACCCGATCGAGTGGGCTGAAAACCCGATCGGGTACACGACCCTGCAGGCCTAAAAAGCCTATAAATACACCCCATTTCCTCCACAAGAAGACCACCAATTCCTATATACTTCTAAGCTCAGTCTAGACAAGTTCTTTCTTTATATTTTTATCATGTTTAGTCTCCAAATGAGGAGCTAAACTCTTCCATCTTGGTTGAAGCTTAATGAATTGTAAGTTGTGAGTTATTTTCTTTGATCTTCTTCCTTGAATATTAATTAATTCTTATTCCTATTACATATTACTATTTTGAGCAATACTTAAAGGATCAACTAGTTTTGTTTCATATATTAATTAATACTAGAATCGGTCGATTAATACGCTTGTTATTAACTCGGTCCTTTCACGGTAGTAAACTTGGGTTGCTAATGCATGCGTCTCATGGTTAGTAAGCCAAGGGGAATTAATTATATTGATTAAACCGATAAACCGCTTGTGTTGAGGTTATCAATCTCAATCGTTTTCATCTTGATTTTATTGCTACTACCAAGTAAATATACGGCGCGTGTTCTATATTGACTCGGTAGTAAGTTTTATTAATGAACGCGTCTCGTTATTAATAACTACCCTCGATGAATTGGATATACTCCTCGATTGAGTATTCGAGAGGAAGATAGTTAAAGATATAACCGGGATCGACGAACATTTCATTAAGTGGATAAAAGCAAAGCCAAGCCTTCTTCTCATTAATTAAACTACATAACTCGTTCATCTTCGTGTTAAAGTTCATCAACCAAATATAAACCCCCCCCCCTTTATTATTACTTAATTGTCTCTATAAGAAGAAAAGTATTCCTTTCCCTGTGGATACGAACCTTACTTCAATATACTACGTATATTTGTGGTATTGATATTTATTTTGAGTGCACCTCACGACAAGTGCACGTCAAATTTGGCGCCGTTGCCGGGGATCGAACCCGGGTCACCCGCGTGACAGGCGGGAATACTTACCACTATTTCAAGAAAAATCAAAAAAATGTTTAATTAACCAAAAATATAAAGAGTTCTTATTTTTCTATTTCTGAGCTTTGTGAAGTATATGGTCCGATATCGTTCTATAAACGAAATCACTTATCAAGCAAACCCCGAAATAGAACAAGCCTTCGAGAGGTTGAGAAATTTAATTCTGCACATACCCTCGGAGGAATCCTCAAACGCTAGCTCTAGTTCTAGCGAATCTGAAGAGCCAAGCACTATGACTCAAGAAACAAGAACTTTGAGGGAGCTCACAGCTCCGAACTTGAACCAACAACCGTTGTGTATTACCTTCCCTACACTCAACGAGGGTAATACATTTGAGCTGAAATCTGGGCTCATTCATCTTTTGCCATCCTTCCATGGCTTAAGAGGGGAAGATCCAAATAAACACCTCTCGGAATTCCATGTCGTATGCACAAGCATGTGTCCTAATGGAGTCACCGAGGAGCAAATCAAATTGCGGGCCTTCCCATTCTCACTCAAGGACACCGCAAAGGATTGGCTGTTCTATCTTCCTTCGGGAAGTATAGGCACGTGGGCGGCAATGAAAAAAGCTTTCCTCGAAAGGTACTATCCCGCCTCTGTCTCCTCATCTCTAAAAAAGCAAATCAGCAATGTGGAGCAAAATGACGATGAATCGTTCTACGAATATTGGGAACGATTCAAGAAACTTTGCGCAAGCTGTCCATACCAC